TTATATGTGCTTCTTTTWTCAGCAAAACTGAATCCACTGATTTCGAGCAACGCATCGAAGGCGTGACACAAGACGACTTRTCATGACTATGGCTTCTTTATTACCGTAATGAAAAATGGCGCATGGACACGAAATGAGCGCCTCTTAACACTTTTTTACTGAAGAATATAAAAATGAACATTTCTCGCGCTTATCGACAMCACCAATARAATTACTAAATTGACAATTTCTCACTGAAAATAGTATTTTTGTTACGAAACAAGATTTTGAAAAATATATCATGTATACATTTAGGTCCTTTAGCAATCAAACGAAACTTTGTTCATATTTCATGCTTGACAACTGTTCTTCAATCTTTTATAGAAATTTTTTTGAGAATATTGGTATCTTTTTGTACTTACCAACCACATTAACCAATTGGCTGATGCTCCAGATCAACASACCACTCTTCACTAGTACCTCAAAAAGAGTCATCTTTGAAGAAAGAGGGCCAAACTGGAAGGGTTCTCAATTTCTGACTAACTTTTATAAAGATTTTTAATGGTTCATTTAGGATGTCTGAGAGTAAAGGCTTATATCAGCTGTGATTGGCCAATTAGAGGAATTACGTAAGAGTTCACATTGCACARTGAAGACGTAAACTCTCGTAAGAAGAACAATATTTGTTTTTCGGATGTTAATTCTTTGGTTATATGAAATTTAGATTCTGAATAAATTACCACAATTTTTATTTAGTCATTGTTCTTAAACRTTTCATTTCCTTAACTTATTTATGTATCTATAAGCTTACCATGCATCTTTAGGAATAATGTTCCCTATATTTATTAGTCTAATCTATAGCATATTTAAACTTTACAACTGCAAGCAAATTGTGACCTTCACAAATTAAGAGATATTTCTTGAAGAATCGCATTGCGACATTGATCAGGTGTAACCTTGGTACCCCAATGAGCCTTAGCAACCATCAGTAACCAAGGCGATTTTGGGACTAGCTATTAATGAAGGGGAAGCACAAATTGCTTTCCTTTTCCGCTAGGTGACCTCTACCATTGGTCATACTGATTGCTGAAACGGCCTATCAGATGCAAGAGTTTCCTCAACAGTCGTGATATCTTATGAGAAGAAAACTCTATAAACACTGTTGGTGTTTTCTTTGCCTACGCAATCGGTAGAGTTTGGAAAACAAGGTGCGAAGTTATCTGTCACACAATTGGTCGATTTTCCATTAATGCTGTACGTAGCAGCGCTCTCAGGTCCTGACATGCAGTCTCCTGGAAATAAGCATGAACATAGTTTAGAACTGGCAAATCAGCAAAGTGTTTTAAATCACGTGATAAAACTCTATCAACTTTTGTAATTCGACAAAAAATTTCCCTCCGCTCTCATTGCTTGAGAGTCAACAATGATACGATAGTGCCCGCCACGAGGGCTACTTTCATTGCATAGATCCCGCCACTTCAGAAGATTATGTTGTTTAATTATAAAAAATAAAATAATAATAATAAAAATAATAGAACAGTTTAAATCTCGTGCATTATGCTGTGATAGGCGTGCAATTGGAAGTTAATAGGTTATGAATTATATTTTGAGATAAACTTATAGGAAATTTCCCGTTTAGACTTAAAATACGTTGAACGTTGCTTTAACTTAGACGTGACAAATATATTACCGTAGTTTTGCAAGCCAAAATAAAACATTTTCATATTCATTGTTGCACGAGCACAGCTGCAGACAAATTCACGAATGTATTCGTTAAAGTTGCCCAAGTTTACATCGTGRCCAGAATAGTGTTGAGGGCTGGTTTCTTTCCGGTTTGTGAACAGAAGGTTTGGCAGAGGTCTTGGAATTGATTGGTTATCATTAAAACAGCCAACTCGTTGATACTTCACGTCACATGTTGTTTCTGTGGAAAAGGAAAGAAAACACTGCTTTACATAACATACTGTATTAGAGTGACGTCATTAAACCAATGAAACAAAATTTGACTATCAAAGTGTGATAGGCAAATAGACATAAAAGAAAAAGGGTCAAATTAGAGCGTGTGAAGGTGTGTTAACAGGGGCGTATCCAGCTAACATTTTAGGGGAGAGGGGGCCAATAAGMTTTTTTACCATTAATAACATCRAATATGAATAMWRTAAAATTTCTGCTCAGAGRACGAGAGTGAGGGAGAGGGAGAGAGGGGAGGGTTACAAAGGCAGCGCCCTCTTGCCCCTCCTTGGATCCGAACTTGATTATTGTCATCTATTTCAAGGATTCTTGGACTGCAATCTACTTAAAAACACTATTAAAGCGTGGCAGAAACAATTAACTAATAAAATCCTGATAGTCAAGCAAAACTRTCTACTGGCGAACTGTAAAACATACCGTRTTTTGACTTAAGGGCATACACATAGTTAGTTTCCTTTTTTCCAACACATAGCTGGTTGTCTTCTRTGTTTGACGAGCATTCCTTGTAGCCTTTTGTTACGCATGTGTCTGTTGATCCAGATCGACTGAACTTGGCTTCTRGACTTCCTGCCCAACATTCACCTGACAACAAAACTTGAYATCACCTCATACAACTTTCTGACTACGATATAAACGGGCAACTAACTAAACATTACACTACTTGTCACATGCTTTTCTGAATAACTGATAAATAACCTCCCTTAATGTTTGATAATGGTTGGGCTGCCTGTGTATATGTAATTGCACACTAATTGTTKCGCTGCTTGTGTATGAGTGATTGATAATACATACCATAAAACTGTATACTGAAGTACTTATACTGTAGTTCTGAAGCCTTTTGAGCGCATCTGCAGACCAGCTGAGGCATATATGTGTCCCATTCTCCCCAGGGAATCGAGTTTCGTTCGTTTAGAATCAGATTTGGCAAAGGTCGGGGTTCTACCATGTCGTCTTTAAAACATCCATGTTTATGAAATGGAACGCTACACTTGTCCTCGTCTAGTCAAAGAARCGTTGTTGTATTAGTATTAGCATAAGGGTATCTAAAGAGTATAGAATATAAAGAAGACYTACTGTTTGGTATGTCCAATCCATAGATAAAGTTCGTGCCMTCCTCACCAGCGCATTCAATCTGATCACCATTTGAGCAAGGYTTATACTGGGTATTTACACATTTCGATGATAAGCCGTCAGATTTGTAAGTCTCTCCTGCATTCTCACCTGACCGACACTCCCCTGCCGAATAAAGAAACTTGTAGCAAAAAATGGTGATGCAGTAGAAGCTGGCCGCAACACACTATTAAGAACTYTAGAGAACTTATCGTAACGCCCAAGCTTTGGAAAGTACTTCAATTCACAATTTTAATTGGTTAAGAGCATTAGCTAAGGGTTATGTTGATAGAAAGCTCAAGGTGATTGGTCAAATAGCATATCACGTGGTGAACCAAAAGATACAAAATAACGTCATGCGTTAGTATAATATATGTAGTCTTGAAAGTTTAAAGAACTTGTATCACCCTGGMTGCTTTGCGCGCCTCGTCATAATTTCGAAAAATCATTTTAAGGATATTKCAAGCTATTGAGAGGTTGATTAAAATAGTATTTATAGACTCGTTGAGCTTACCGTGGAATTGAATCCCAAAGAAACTATAACCCTTGGCACTAGCAGCTTTAGAACATCGACAAACAAGGTTTTTAAGGTAACTGTTCCAATTCTTCCAGTCAACTGAGATGCCCGAGTAATATGCCGACACGGGATCTCTGTCTGTAAACAACAGCTCKGGTAACGGACGACGAGCAATATCTCCTCCTTTGTCGTGGAAGCACCCAATCTTGTGGTAAGGGGCGYCACAACTTGCTTAAATGGACCAATCAAAACATTTTTAACGTATTAGTGATACTTGTGATGTCCATAAAAAGAGTGAAGGAACAGAGATTTGATTTTTCCAATATGTGCGGGAAAACTTGAGAGAACATACAGAAAAAGCGAAAATAGCCGATTTGCATTTATGCGTCATTTACTACAACTACCAGAATGCTTTGCCAACTTTCTTTTGTAATGCAATTAGTGCCAATTGTTTTATTAATCTCCAAGGGGATTAAAAATCTGAATAAAAATGAAAATGCGCAAGGCTCTCTGGTAGTTGTAGTAAAGATACACCATCATGCAAATGGCCTATTGAGGGGAATACAACCCACACTACACCCTCCTCCCGTCCTGCACATCCTTCTCTCTTTTCATCGGCATTATTCTTACTTATATCATGTTGTTGGTTGGTCTTTACCTGGTGGTGGAGTTCTGGGTGTTGTAGGAGATGGAGTTGTTGGTGCTGGAAACAAAAGGTGTAGATTACGTTTTTATATATCATCCGGCAAATAATATAGTAATAACTTGTAGTCTATATAGCGATTCAGAAAACATTGAATACTGAAGATAGCGAGCGTATTTCAAGACCGCAAGGATTGTTGAATGTTCTATGACTTCCGTTTAAATGGAGTTCTGGTGATTTCAAAGAGATTTTTCCAGCTCTGTTTAGTCAAGAAATTCAATGGAAAGTAATTAAGTTTAGAATGGTCAACTTGTCTTGCAGCTAACAAGGAGTTTAATTGCACACCAATGCGTTGCGGTCTTGGAATACACTATCTTCAATCTTCAGTATTCAACGTTTTCTGGAATAGCCGTATGCAAAATTCAAAGACGATTAGTTATAATAAAACAGAGTTCCCGGTTTAAACGCCTCCTCGTCACCACATCTTTATCGATCCTGGTACTAGGAGTAAATCGATTTTCTTCGAGTCTGGATTCTCCAACGAAATAAAATCCAAACAAATTTTAGACGACTACATTTCGAACGAGTTTGCGCAAAATCAATCATTGCTACTTTAGAAATCAATTTCATAACTTTTCATAACACTAAACTTATTCCTGACAACCACTCGACGCGGGAAGAAATAGTGGAGAGAATGTTATGAAGCCTAACATAAACACAATATCTGGACAGGCATACCTGGATAATAGGAAGCCGTTTTTGCGTTTAGCTGTGTTCTTAATTTTGATTTTGTATGTAGACTTTCATTGCTTTTAGGGAAAATTCACTAAGGAATTTACTACAGTGGCATTGACGTGGGCAATCATGAAATATGTTTGTGCAGTTTTCGTTCAAGCAAGTAAAAAATATAACAAAACAGCCTGCTAAATAATGCTAATTTCTTTACTTTACCATTCATGTCTAATCAACAATCTAATCAACACTGCAATTTAGCAGCGTGTCATCGTAAGCTTAAAATTCTTTTCACAGTTGTTGTGTACATGTTTACTAAATTAACRACCAAAAGAGTTTTCCAACAAATAGAACAAATTCTGATGAACAACAGCTGATCTTAATTAGACGTTCATTGATTTGAGTGTGAAAACTCTGAATACCGTGCTGGATTTTTGCATAGTTTTGTGCTACTGAAATGCATACTATAAAAGTACACAAACATTAATTTCGAATTTTAGTCGACATAGTTGTTTCTCGGAGATTTCAATCAACTATAGCGTCATGGCTGAGGCTGCTACAAACGTGACTATCGGGGGAGAATGCTTCGATATGGTAGCAATTCCAGACGCAACTACAAAGCTCGTTGAACAAGCCAAGAAAGGTATTCTAGGAACTTTAGACTTGGCGAGTCTTGTTGAAGACCTGGCAAAGCTGGGGACATTCATCCGAATTGCTTACAATGGCGTCGCCGGATATACCGACATTCAAATCAAAGTGCAACGTGTCGGTTACAAGATATCAAAGCTTGCAGACAAATCTGCCGTCACTGTGCACAACTTCAAAGGAGCCTCTAATGATGTCCTTAAGGAAATGCAAGGAACTTATCAATATCTTTTGGACGGTTTGGAAGAAATGGCTATTGAGACGCTCTCGCATTTGTCCACCGTCGCTGAGCAGATGGCGAAGGCAGCTGAAGACTTGCACGACGAGTTTGACAAGGCGACAACCGATGTTATCGAGGCATTGGAGGATACACAAAAAGCAAAAGGCATGCAGGAAGACAAAAAGTTGAAGATGAAGAAGGACCAAGAGGTGTTTGAAATGAAAAAGAAGAAAATAGAGCAGCTTCAAAAGGAGGCTTTAGAAGCAGAGAACAAAGCAGAACGGTACTTCAACGAGGCTCAAAAGCGAGAAGACAAGGCTTTGNTCATAACACTAAACTTATTCCTGACAACCACTCGACGCGGGAAGAAATAGTGGAGAGAATGTTATGAAGCCTAACATAAACACAATATCTGGACAGGCATACCTGGATAATAGGAAGCCGTTTTTGCGTTTAGCTGTGTTCTTAATTTTGATTTTGTATGTAGACTTTCATTGCTTTTAGGGAAAATTCACTAAGGAATTTACTACAGTGGCATTGACGTGGGCAATCATGAAATATGTTTGTGCAGTTTTCGTTCAAGCAAGTAAAAAATATAACAAAACAGCCTGCTAAATAATGCTAATTTCTTTACTTTACCATTCATGTCTAATCAACAATCTAATCAACACTGCAATTTAGCAGCGTGTCATCGTAAGCTTAAAATTCTTTTCACAGTTGTTGTGTACATGTTTACTAAATTAACAACCAAAAGAGTTTTCCAACAAATAGAACAAATTCTGATGAACAACAGCTGATCTTAATTAGACGTTCATTGATTTGAGTGTGAAAACTCTGAATACCGTGCTGGATTTTTGCATAGTTTTGTGCTACTGAAATGCATACTATAAAAGTACACAAACATTAATTTCGAACTTTAGTCGACATAGTTGTTTCTCGGAGATTTCAATCAACTATAGCGTCATGGCTGAGGCTGCTACAAACGTGACTATCGGGGGAGAATGCTTCGATATGGTAGCAATTCCAGACGCAACTACAAAGCTCGTTGAACAAGCCAAGAAAGGTATTCTAGGAACTTTAGACTTGGCGAGTCTTGTTGAAGACCTGGCAAAGCTGGGGACATTCATCCGAATTGCTTACAATGGCGTCGCCGGATATACCGACATTCAAATCAAAGTGCAACGTGTCGGTTACAAGATATCAAAGCTTGCAGACAAATCTGCCGTCACTGTGCACAACTTCAAAGGAGCCTCTAATGATGTCCTTAAGGAAATGCAAGGAACTTATCAATATCTTTTGGACGGTTTGGAAGAAATGGCTATTGAGACGCTCTCGCATTTGTCCACCGTCGCTGAGCAGATGGCGAAGGCAGCTGAAGACTTGCACGACGAGTTTGACAAGGCGACAACCGATGTTATCGAGGCATTGGAGGATACACAAAAAGCAAAAGGCATGCAGGAAGACAAAAAGTTGAAGATGAAGAAGGACCAAGAGGTGTTTGAAATGAAAAAGAAGAAAATAGAGCAGCTTCAAAAGGAGGCTTTAGAAGCAGAGAACAAAGCAGAACGGTACTTCAACGAGGCTCAAAAGCGAGAAGACAAGGCTTTGGAAAAACAAAGTAGCTTTATGTGGAGACTCGCAGACACGTTTGGAAAAGTTATCGATGTAGGTGTAACGGCTGCAAGTCTGAATCCAAAGGCCGCTCTTGAGAAACTGACTAAAATCGGACAAGATACTGTCTACAAWGCATCCATGGAGAAAGCTAGTCAGGAAAAGATGAAGCACCTTGAGGAAATGCAGAAACAGAGAGATCTCAGGAGAGAGGCTGTCCAACAGTGTATCGAGTTTGCTGAACGAATCCAGAACTGCAAGTCTGATGAAGCACTTGCTGCAGTTGCCATAGATGCCCTCCACAACTCAGTTGGTGCACTGAAGTCTCTTTCAGCCATCATGATGAACGCAGCGCTGTTCTGGAGGCAAATGAAAAAGCACTGCGAATCTCTCTCAAGCCAAGACATAAAGGATCTMATAGAGAAAGCAATGCAGTATCCTGAAGACAAGCGTACTAAAGTTTGGACGTCTAGGTCATTCAAAACRAAAGCCATTCAGCATTACTCCAAGTGGGTTGCATTGGATGATGTATGTGGCATATACATGCAACAAATCAAGGAAACGCGCACCGATTTGTACGCGTATTTGAAGGAGAACCCAACCATCGAGGAGTCACGTGACAATGTGCGTAAACTCGCTGCTACTTTCAAAGATTCGTTGGAAAAAGCACACAAGGCGATTGATGAGAAAGACAGYATGGCTAGTGAAGAGATGAAACAGTTGGCACTATAGATGAACACTAGCTAGGCTAATCATAAGTTTACAATTAATGCTCATTGTGATTTGGTAAAATTACACAATATTAATAATTTAATGAAATTGATTGTTCTTCATGCAATGGATCGAATTTGTGCGAATTAGAATTACTTATGATATCGGTTAGATAGGTGTCTATAAGTAAAKAAAGTGAGAAACGTTTACGATACGATTCTTGTTTTACAGTTATTTCAAATTAAGACACTCAAAAAAMCCGTGAAATAGACATTACTTCAATAGAGTCATTTTCATCCGTCTGTGAAATAGRAATTSTGCTATTAGATACTATTACCCCCTATTAGCTCCAAATAGTTTAACTYATAACGTGCGACAAACTAATTAGGCAAACGCGGTTTTGATTTTGCCTTTTGGTAGCCTACTACAACCTAATAGTTACTATTAAACACTGACTAGTAGTAATTGTTTCACAGACGAATGAAAATGACTCTACCATTTTTGCTTCAGGTCCACTTTTAGTACAGTTGGTTTTGTATGACTGAATTTCGCAGATTAAATGCGTTCCCTGTACTAAAAACATGATATAATATCAATATGTGAATAAAGTATAGTGAGATATATGCAACATCATTGTACAAGTGGATATGAAATAAAACTTTAATGCAACAATACTCGTGCACAGTACTTGGTGTTGTTGGTTGAGTGGTCGGTATAGGAGGGATAGGTGGTTCTGTACTTGGTGTTGTTGGTTGAGTGGTCGGTATAGGAGGKGTAGACGGTCGTTCAGTCGTAGGTTTTGTCGTTGGTGCTTTGAATACGTGTAGAAAGAACATCAGTTTAAAATGATAGTGAAAATGAAACACGGACAAAAAGAAATAAGACAAACCGAAAAATTAAATGTTCTTAAGTTTCATTTAATTCTTACATCGAAGTTTATATTAATTAGCTTACTTAAAAGATTAAGCTTATTTACTTATTCGCTTGTTATAAATTAGAATTTACCTGGTGTCGGACAATTTGCCATTTTGGTAATTTGCTTGACTTTTTTCAAGAGATCAACAAAACCGTCCAGTTTTAGAACATCTTCACCGGAAGACGCTATCATGTTGAGCTCTTCATCATTGACTTTCTGAGTTACACCAACAGCGATAATATGAATCTTCATGATTTTAAGCGTAGTGATTGGATCAGCAAGTAGCTTCTTCCCTTAAATATACAAAATATTAGAGTGAATTTTTATTAGCACTGGGCCGAGATGTATTAACCAATAACGGAGCACTCAGAAAACGCCTTGTAAATAGACTTCTGGAKCTATTACGTCACCTACTTGATTTGCAGTGTGGAATCAGTTTTTGGAGAGAAAAAAAAGAAACTCAATGCATACAATGCATTGCGTATGCGGTATATGGCATTAATGAGGTCTACAACCACATCATAAGAATATGCAGTTGTTTCAAAAGCATTGTCGAGAGAAGGCACGGCCGAGACATATGCTGCAGGTAATGAAAGACTATACTTTAATGATATTCACTAAAAAAAGGCAGCAGTCATCTTCAATTGGAGAATCATATCGTCATCATATCCGCAATGACTTTCGCTCTTAGTTTCACACAAGAAAACATACCTGGTACTCCTTCCAAAGGCGTGGTCCTGCCATCAGTTACGATGATGAGGACTCTATTCTCATCATTCAAACTTTCCAATTTAAACATCCTGATGGCTTCGTCCAAGGCTAATTCTGTTCTTGTGATTCCATTCTTAAAATTCAAACATGCAGAAGTCAACAATTGACTGCTACAACTGTCACTACTGAAGCGTAATATGATCGACTCTTTCTACAATTGTGATCTCTTGAACTTTTAGGGGGTGAATATTGTGTTGCTACGCCCTTTTTCATAAGATCCTGGTATCTTTTAGGAGTATTTTTTTTTAATTTCCAACGACCAGCACAGCATAAATATAGGACAAATTCCCTCCCCCACTCCCCAATCACTAACACCCCTCGAAAAACTCCACGCTAACTAGCTCAAACGCTAACCTGGTACTGGGTTGAAAGTCTTTTGATTCCATTTTCTATTTTCTGGCTGTTGCTTGTAAGTGGGATAGCTTCTCGTGCAACTTGGCTGTATTCTACAATACCAATTTTGTTTCTTGGATTTAAAGCGAGGATCTCCGAGGAAAGATTAGCGCTAAACTGCAAGCTCTTGAACCAGTTGGGCTGWGTAACGCTTCCAGACCCGTCGAGAATGATGATGACATCCATGGTCTCATGGCATACTTCAGCTTTGAATTATACAATGAATAACTATTATGACAGATTGATGACATTAGAAATTAGAAATTAATGATAAGAAAATAGTAATGTTATTGATGATCATCTCTATGTAGGGCTGTCATTTATGTTGTATATTATTTTTGTTGCGCATGCGTGCTTGTATAGGTTGTTATCGGCACGAGATCAATAATCAAACTATACATGCGCCGTAGTAGCGAACTACTTTTCAAAACATCGACGCCATTTTGTTTTGGACATCCGCTGATCAAATTGTCCGCTTCCTCACTTTCATGCATCTGTTAAAGACGCTATTTGTTTCAATGGCCGTGAAAATGTGAGTGAGATATCGGTAATAAATTGGCCTGGAATTTGCTATGAAGCATATGTTGGTTTGTATTAGGTATGTTCTTTTGGCCAAAAGTTCCTATTCCAAATAATTCCGTTTACACGAATAAGTATATGAGATAAGTCCGATATATAATTTTATGCATTTTTGTTTTTTTCCGGCCTGMTATGAAAATCTTCATATTAATGAAATTCTTCATATTAATGATCTTCCGTGACACATTTCAAAATTAAGATAGACGGCGGCGAGCCAAAGTCAGGTTTCTCAAACAGGTTGTTTTGGGTGGAGCAGGTAATTTAACACGCTTTAGTAACTATCGAAGGTAAAGACCGTCCTCTGATACAATTCAACAGTCTTAAAAACAGGTCTGAATATCTAAAAGAAGTGTTTTCCATTTCAGAAGTTTGTTATTAAAATAGTTTTCTAGAGTTTATACTATTACTATTGTCTTTGTTGTAATGTTTTRTAATATAATATGGGTGTTCCAACTTCCAGCCCACTTTTACACAGTGTACTATTGAGGTTAGTTCAAAGTTTGTATCTCTCTCTGTACCTTGTTTACAAATGCCTATTTCCTTTTATCTGAAAAATGAGGAAGTGATTATAAAGCACTTCCATTTCTTCACTGTACTTGCATGTATTAAGCCTCTAAATTTAGTACTAGTGCTTATTACAAATGCATACTAAACCAGCGAGGCGGAGAAAGTTYTCCACAAATAATTCAAATAGGTGTCAACTCAATGGCATAATTTAAAATCAAAATCTCCACACAAACAAAATTTACACGGCATCGATAACAGTCTAGCTATTTCACCTAATTTCGTCGACTTATGAGGARAATTGGCATTGTCTTCATCGTAAAATAATAGAATAACGAGGTAAACAAATGCGACGAGAATTTCACAAAAGGCGCAATTGATGTTRCGATGTATTTGAAAGAAATCATCTCACTTTTAGTTTTTGGACAACACTGCTACCGAATGTCAATCAATGGGAAGCTTGAGCGTTTGTATTTAACCGTGAAAGTAACTCCCTTTTGCAAGACAAGTAGTCAGTACTCAAACTACTCTACTGGACTCTACTATATATTTCATGGTTGTTAGGTGCAAAAGTAAATAAATATCTCACAACAAAGTAAACCAACTAACCATTTATCCTCATGACTTGGTAGACAAAGATAAAAACCTGCCATTTTAGAAGCTTTTGCATGGCAATTATAGCTTACTGTTGAACACAAAGCCAAGGTGTTAGAGAAAATTTGGTTATACTAGTTTTGGGGTCAATTCATTTCCTCGGATAACATAACAATGACGAAAGAACGGCGAAATGAAATTGTCGAAACGAATAAAAATATTTTGTATTATTATAGACAACTTGTTTATATATACAATTAACTCCTTTGTCCTTTAAACAGGTTAAAGTTCGACGGTTTAATCAAAAAGCWGACTGGTTCAAAGGATACGAACATTTTGGAGTACAGTTCATGGTTGACTCAACAAAGTTGGCATGAATAAAATTTTCTGCTTTTTGAGGGTGGAAATCAATTTAACAGGGTTTGAGAGAGTCCTTTTTTGCATTGTTTCAGTACCAATTGAAAACTTGTAATTAWTTTACAGCCTCAAATTGTTTATACAATTTTCTCCCAATATTATGACAGCTCCAAAAGTGTCTCTTAGATTTGTGAAGTACTTTTCCATTTGGTTTTGCCTCCTATGTAAACAGTCCAGAACAAGAWTCCAGGTTATCCAGAAATTTTTCTCGCCAGTAGTCAATCACATACTTTTCAAAGGAATTGTATCATTGAAATAGGGCACTATAACTACAAGCACCGCATCAGTCATTCACTTTTTAGGCGATGGTTCACGCCGTTTCAGTTTCGTGATACAAGGTGATACAATTTATTTTTAAAGCAAATCCAGTTTAAAAATTCAAATATCTAAACTTAGGTCAATAGCTGTACATGCTTGCACAGGGCGTTAGGTTGTCGTGTTTTTCTTCTAATCACATATTAATCTAAAGGTTTATACATAGTTTATTCGGGTTAAAAGATTTCCAATGACGCGGGATCCGGAGTGACTCTCATATTTATATTCAACAGTCCATTGTTGATTCACTTACCGTTTTTTCCTTTTTTTTTGTTTTAAACTAATCGATGTATCCGTTCAGTTGCAATGGAGTGTGCGTAACTCCTTCACCATCCAAATCATCCAAGACTCAGCCATAAGTATCCACAGACCATATGATCGCTTTACATATAATGTAAAGATATGAATATGAAGACCGCATGGCACTATGATAAACACGATATAGAAATGAAAGAAAGTTATAGTGCTTAGAAGGAGGCAATTCCGGGAGAAGTCCCTTAGGAATAAATTCGGAAAAATTAATTTCATTTCTATATCGTGTTTATCATAGTGCCATGCGGTCTTCATATTCATATCTTTACATTATTCTATTACCGCAACCTTAACATCTATTTCACCCCGACCTGCTCCCAGTCTGGCCTTGTAGCTCAGCTGGTAGAGCATCGGTGTACAATCCGAAGGTCGTGGGTTCGAATCCCAGCGAGGTCGGAAATTAATTTTTCCGAATTTATTCCTAAGGGACTTCTCCCGGAATTGCCTCCTTCTAAGCACTATAACTTTCTTTCATTTCTATATCGCATTACGAAAAACGGTCACCCATCCATGTGGATGGGCATCGTTTCCACCTATGAGGGAGGTGATTAGCCGGACCCTAAGCACTAATGACTAACCCCTTGTGTTAGAAATACATCACATCGCGGAACATTTATATCGGTCGCTCGGGTACGGGCTCTTCCATGTGGGACGCAAAAATTCTTCATGTGGAACGAGTCTTAATATATCGTCTCGCACCCAATACACACAGCTGTTGAAACGACACGATTTAGAAAAAGGAAAGAACAAGTTATAGTAAAGATGGATTTTATTTGAGATTCGAGCTCGTACACTTTGCTGCAATGTACATTGACTGTTATTATATAGACCATTGTTATCATTATTRTCATGTATTACTTTTATTAATTTCTCTTCCATGATTACTATTATACAAGGTACTTTATGAACATGCATGCAAAGCTATTCATTTTCTTGTTCGGCAGTCATCTGTTCGTAGTCACGATGCCGGATTTTCATAACATACTGTATGATGACTGAAAAGATTAAGACAATGATGCTCAGCCCAGCAAAGATGAGGAAAGTAATTCCCTGACCTGTGTATTCCATCATAAACCCTGTCAGAAATGGACCAATAGCAGGACCTGCTCCAGTAAACATCAAATGAAGAAGTCCTTTTTGATGAGAAAATGCAATCAAAAAATGCAGTGGCATTTATATTTTGTTTGCTATTTTAAGATATCAGGGACATAGTATGAGAAGCACCCACAGGGCGATATGGCAAAAAAGTATTACTTAGACTGTGTTTACACGTGTCCATTTAATTAAACCGTCTGCACAAACTAAAAACTAATATCTCTACCGACATATTCACATACGGCTTCTTCTGTCACATATATTTCTACCACCATATCCACATACACTTCTACCGCACA